TATCTTGTTCATTTTGTAATGATATCGTCAATTCTCTAATTTTGGTGAATATTTTTGTCATTTTTGGTAAAAAGTGATATTTTTGACTTCTTGTTAAAAACTGCAAGTCCAATTGCTTTGATATTACATATATAGGTACTACATGTGGACCTCTCTCAGATTTGTTCATTTTGTAATGATATCTTTATTTTTGTCATTTTTGGTAAAAAGTGATATTTTTTTCTTGTTAAAAACCACAATCATTTATGTTGAAAAATGATATTTTTGAATTCTTGTTGAAAACAGCAAGTCCCATTGCATTGATACTATGCATCTTGTTCATTTTCTAATGATATCTTCTGTTCTTTAATTGAAATGTGCATTGCTAACAGCGGAGCTATCTCAGCCGAGAGGCTGCTTGTTCAGTTTACATATTCCACATAGTTTTAGGAAAATGTCTCTTTAGCTCCGCTGTTGACTTTGTGTATATGTACTTTTGGTAGGGTTCTCTTAGATTTGTTCATTTCATGATGATATCTTCAATTCTACAAAATTTCAACAGTCTATAGCCAAGACTTTTTGGATAATAAAAAGCAAAAAAAAAAAATTCACTCCAAAGTGCCCACAAACCTGCATCTCTACCTTAAGTGAAAGAATTTCACTTATTCAATTTTGTACTGTTTTTCTTCAGGGTGGTATTGCATTTGTCACAATCAAAGGTGTTATGAAGATCTATTTCAAACAGCAGCAGTATCTGAGACAAGTTCATCGAAAAATACAAGACTTCCCAGATGAAGGAATGAGTCAACAAACTGGAGCAACCCAAGCTACTGGCACCCAGACGTCTTGAGTATTCACATCTTGTATTTGTCACCAATCATAGTGCATCTTACAATGTTACTTTAGTTTGATAAGATGCATTCTGATTGGCCACATCATTAAGATATTTTTAGGTAATATGTGAATTGATTCAAATATGACTGCTATATTTGCTCTGTTAGAAATACTTCTTGAATAGAAGTGTATATAAACCAAAAGTTATTTTTATTGTATGCTGGATCATTAAATATGACATATTCTGTCATTTACTTGAGCTGATATGCTGCTACATGTGATAGAGCAAATTTCTGATAAGCTGATAATTTCAATCTTTAGTCTCTATTAAGACACTGTCTGAAAATTTAAAGATATTTTATGATTTCAACAAAAATAGCCAACCGATGGCCATTTTGAACATTTTCAGATCGACTTGCCAATGTACCCCAACCTCTAATCCTAACTCTAACCTTACCCCTACCTTCTATTGCCCACTCAAATTAATTATATGTACCCATCTCGAGAATGCCTCTAGTTATCTAGAGGGGTCAGGGATACATTGGGAAATCTTTCCAATTTAAGTTAGTATGATGATCATACATATTAGGTTACAGGTGCATGTGCATGATTTTTGACTCCCATGTGCGAAGCACAAAACGGGAGTCTTTGCGGTTAGTGTGTCCGTATGTGTATGTGTGTGTGTATGTGTGTCCGTGTGTGTATGTTTGTCCGTCTGTTCCACTGATATCTCAAGAACCATACATCAGTTTTTGATGAAACTTGGTGCATAGATGCTCTGGGGTAATGCGCAGATTTGATTAGGTTTTGGTAAAATTTCATGCATATTAATTACCTAATTTGCATGATAATAAGCTAATTTTTAGCTGTTCCATTGATATCTAAAGAACCACTTATTGGATTTTAATGAAACTTGGTACATTGATGCTCTGAACTAATGCTTGGTTTTAATTAGTTTTTGGTAAAAATTACCTAATTACCTAATTTGCATAATGATTAGTCAATTTTCGATTTTTTCACTGATCTCAAGTACTAATCATCACATTTCAATGAAGCTTGGTACATAGATACTCAAGGACTATGCAGAGAATGATCGTTTTGGGATAAATATTTGTGCATATTAATTACCTAATTTGCATAATTAATTAATTTTCAGCTTTTGATGTTTCAAGTAGTAAGCATTACATTTCAATGAAACTTGGTACATAGATACTCAAGGACAATGCAGAGATTGATTGTTTTGGGATAAATATTTGTGCATATTAATTACCTAATTTGCATAATTAATTAATTTTCAGCTTTTGATGTTTCAAGTAGTAAGCATTACATTTCAATGAAACTTGGTACATAGATACTCAAGGACTATGCAGAGATTGATTGTTTTGGGATAAATATTTGTGCATATTAATTACCTAATTTGCATAATTAATTAACTTTCAGCTTTAGATGTTTCAAGTAGTGAGCATTACATTTCAATGAAACTTAGTACATAGATACTCAAGGACTATGAAGAGATTGATTGCTTTGGGATAAATATTTGTGCATATTAATTACCTAATTTGCATAATTAGTTAATTTTCAGCTTTTCCACAGATATCTCAAGTACTAATTATCACATTGCAATGAAACTTGGTACATAGACCCCTTAGGACTATCAAGAGACCTGATTAGTTTTAGGGTAAATAATTGTGTATATTAATTACCTAATTTGCATAGTTAATTAATTTTCACACTGATTTCTCAAGTACTAATCATCACATTTCAATGAAACTTTATACATGAATGCTATAGGACAATAGACAATTGTGGGTTAAAATCTGTACATATTAATTACTAATTTACATAATTAACCACTTTTAACCTATCACACTGATATCTAAAGTACTAATTATTCCATTTCAATGAAACTTAGTGCAAAGATGCTCTAGGACAATGTACAAACCTGATTAGTTTGGGGTTAAAATCTGTTTATCTCTGACAAGTAATTTTGAATTATATTTAATGTGTCTTCAATACTCTCAGCACATGGGAGTTCTTTCTAAGCTTTCTTTGATTATGGGTTTCATGCTGGTTTCTTTTGGCTGAAATTACCTTTTCTGTTTAATCTTAGTACAGAGCTAGAATATCAAGAGATTTTTCTTTCAGAGGTTTAAGCGATTTGAAATGTGTGTTGAGTTAGGTTTTCATATGTCTAATGAGAGTGCTTCTAATTTTCTTCACATTATACAGTTGTTTTTGAAATTGGAAAATAATTTTGTTTTCATAATATTTACAGTTGCCAGTTAATATAAGTTTTATATCTAACATAGTTCATGGTGGATGAGCCTATTTGCATATCATGGGGCATATGTGATCACTCATTTTTTCAATCAGTAATCTTGGAAATTTACACAATTTCTCTTTTTCCAGGTGTGGAAAAATTCTGAATTGTTACAAGGTTGAGACCATGCATGATTGATTCCATGGTCATGAAGTTTTGGTTAACACAATTATGTTTGCTATTCAAACTTCATACTGTTTATTTCCCCTCCCATGATCATGCTGGCTTTTATATGGTTCTGTAGGTTTGTAGTCATGCCAAAACCTTTTCATGTTGCAACATTTTTTTCTGCGTTTATGAACATTTTAGTCTGAATTGCTGATTTTCTATATTTTTTGAGTGTATATGCATAACAAAAAATGTCATGGGATGTGACTTGTTCATTCCTGATCACTGATATGCTACTATGGAGATTGCTTGTCTGTACCCCCAAGCCGCCGAACATGAGTACCGGTAGTAGCAATTGTTTTCAGACTCCAATGGATGTCTGCAAGCAGATATTAATCCATTGGTAATGGGATGTAGTGGTTACCAAGTACCCATACATGTGTACATCTGTACAGACTTGTATTAGGTGAACTATTGAAGACATTGGGCATAGGATTCCATCATTCTTTTTATGGTGAATTTTTTGTGTACATTTTCTATTTTGTCACTCGCTTAAAGGTGTCTCTAATTCCACAACAACACTGCTGTTATCAGTACATCATAGTTGTATGCCATTGGTTAGTACAGATGGCAAAATATGAGACAGTATGCTGCGCATCGACCTCTGCTGCATGTTGGGTGATACTCTAGCTGTACTATCTTCATGCATACTTTGAGGTATTCTCGTAATAACCTTATTATTATGCACCATGGGAATGCCGAAATCCAAAATGTTTAGAACAGAATCAGCAAACTTCTTTGTGTGGAGTCCGGTCAAACTCTGGTGGCAGCCATGTTTGCTTTATTTGTAGAGGACGCTTGTACGCGTAATCATACCATATTTGGAATTTGCATTTTCTTATATGGTACCTCGTAAAATACCGCTACATTGTAACTTATGGCGTTACTGTGACGGATGTATAATAATTTATTTTATTATGACAAATCTCCTTGTATTTATTTTTAGGATGAAGCAATTATTTTTTGTTCTGTACCTTGTAAAACAAGTCATTGAAAATGACACAGTCCCCGTTAAATTTTTGAAAGTTCTCTTTGTGCTCATCATATTAAAAGCAGAGGAGTTGTCGCGAGCGTGTCCTTGAAACTTGAGTTCCAAGTGGCGTATCAACAGATTGTTTATTAACATCGAAACACATGTTCCGTGTAGTAGTAATATGGCCAAAAATAAAAACAGCCGTTATTCGGCCATCTTTGATCTGATTATGAAACACACTGATATGTATGATGTATGTGCCAAATACGAATGAAAATGATACATAAATTGTGGAAATATAGTTAGTAAGGCCAAAAAGTCAGATGCCTGTCAATCGGCCATCCTTGACCAGATTTTGAAACAAATTGTCATGGACATGCATCCTAACATGTATAAAGTACATGTATGTGCCATATTTGAATGAAAACTGACAGAGCACGTCCAAGTTACCGGATAAAAAGATGCCGACCATCTTTGATCCAATTGCGTAATAAATCGGCCATTTTGAATTGAATCGCTAAACCACTGCATGCGCATATGTCCCACATAAGGTACTAGGCACATGCAAAAAATGAACGGAATCTGTCCACAGGATTCTGAAATATGACTCTGGACAAACTGATGCACGGACGGACACACCGACAGATAGATTCAGGAACTCACAGACGGTTGGGGACATGAATTCTAACATGTATGATCTATGTACCAAGTTTGAATGAAAACTGACAAAGCATGTCCAAACTACAACTTTTTCAAAAAACAAGATGGCTGCCAGTTGGCCATTTTGAATCGAATCACTAAACCACTGCATGTGTCCCACATAATTACTAGGCACATGCAAAAAATGAACGGAATCGGTCCAAGGGATTCTGATATGACAACGGACGTTTTAGGACTTCGTCCGAACAGGGACTAATAAAAATGCAGGCATTGGTTCACATGCATGTGCATCTTATTTTCGCAGATTCTTTCAAGTATTTAAAAAGATTATAATATGTGTGAATAAACATTTTGTGACATGTAACATTATTGCAAATAAAAAATAGAATTATAATATTTAAATGAGTTATTATGAAGAATTTTACAAGACAACTATTTTGGATTGTGGAAAAAAAAACAATAGACATTTTGTTTTTGGCTCTTGTGGATTTATCATTTCTCACATACACTTTAACTGATTTAGGTTAAATAAGCAAGTCATATTAATATTGTCTCAAGTCATATTAATATTGTGTGTGTAACTTTACTGATTGCCGACCATTTTTTTTTCCAAACAAGTTATCCATTTGCCAGGCTACACTTTGCCTATTTTGTTCACACGTTTTGATTTGAATCCAAATGGATGTAGTTTATATGTTGAATGTTCTTATTGCTACATATATTTGAGGTGTCGCATTTATTGAACTACCAGGATGTGATGCCATTTAAAATAACACTGTAGTTAACATGCTGCAAATTATGACCTATCTACATCTTTCATTGTTCATGATTGACTGGTTCGTTTTCAATCATATGATGTAGTCCTGTTGTATTGGATAATACATGCTGGATAATT